TTTTCCTCACCATACGCGCGGCGATCGAAATTCCGCAAATCTTACATCACTGCACTGCCCTGATCCTGATGTTAGCAACGATTCTTCTGGCGGACTAGCAGTCCATGTATATGTATATAGTCAAAGGTATGTGTAACATGTATGATTATATGTACAGTACTACATTACTACATATGTGATATATGTGTATACATATTCGAAATCTTTATGAATATAACACGCCATGCAAGAATCTTCGTCGAAATAGATAAAAAATAATAAGGATCCAATTTATTCTTTCTAATTTACTTATTCTATTGTCGATTATATAATATATGGATCACAATATTTTCTAACAAAATGCTTATTTTTATTATATCCCTTTCTGATTCAATAGATTCCAATAACAACGTAGTTACATATTATTTCTAAAATCGTGCCACGAGTAATCAAAACATATAACCAGAATAACGTAATCCTTCGTCTTTCATTTACCGCGAATGACCGCGAAGAACCGTCGAGTTTGCCAAAATTCTATATCACCGTTTGTTGATTGTCCTGCAAACGCAAAGAAACATTTCACAATGTTATTTTCAGACAATTCTATATTATCGAAAAGCAGCTGAATCAGTTTTGTAACGGAATAGATTATTTCCCGGAACACCTTTTATGAGAATTATGAATTTATTGATAATTTCTTGTGTCATGATTTGAGGTTAACTCCAGTTGATTTCGTAGTAATTAATAGAGGAACAATTGTCTTGACACGTTTTTAGATACTGCTTGTACATACATATTTTTGAGTGGAGATATAATCGGTAGCAATGACTTCGATTATAAAACTTCACGCTGTTTCGGGGGCTATGGACGAGTCTCCCCCATGCTACATATTACAAGTTGACGAATTAAGGATTTTGCTCGACTGTGGATGGGACGAGAATTTTGACCAGGAATTCATTAAGGAATTGAAACGGTAGTAAAGACTGTGTTCGTTCAAACAGGCAGGACAAGAGTATAATCGATTTTCATTTCAGGCACGTACATCAAATAGACGCAGTACTTTTGTCATACCCAGATCCATTGCACTTGGGTGCCTTGCCATATCTAGTTGGAAAATGTGGTTTGAACTGTCCCATATACGCCACCATCCCTGTATATAAAATGGGGCAGATGTTTATGTATGATATGTACCAGGTATCATCAATGAAAAAGTATTGATTACTACTTCTTCACGTTCACTGGTATCATGAAGGGTAATCAAGAAGGATTTTTTCTTTATCATAGTCCCGTCATAATATGGAGGATTTCGATCTCTTTACACTTGACGACGTTGACGCAGCGTTTGATAAAATAGTACAATTGAAATACAATCAAAGTATATCGATGAAAGGGAAAGGATACGGAGTTACTCTGACGCCTTTGCCAGCTGGCCACATGATCGGAGGAACCATTTGGAAGATAGTGAAAATCGGGGAGGAGGACATAATATACGCCGTCGATTTTAATCACAAAAAGGAGAGACACTTGAACGGTTGTGAATTGGAACGATTGCAACGACCGTCCTTGTTGATAACGGACGCTTTCAACGCAACGTATCAACAAGCAAGACGCAGGACCAGGGACGAGAAGCTAATGAGTATGCGGAAACGTACTCTCTTAAACTGCTGTCCACAAACGACGTTTTAAATCTCAGTAATTTCCAGCGAACATTTTACAAACGCTACGCGGAGGTGGGAACGTTTTAGTCAGCGTAGACACGGCGGGTCGCGTGCTTGAATTAGCACACATGCTGGACCAGCTGTGGCGCAATAAGGAATCCGGCTTACTCGCGTATTCCCTGGCTCTTTTGAACAACGTCAGTTACAACGTGGTCGAGTTCGCCAAGTCCCAGATAGAATGGATGAGCGACAAATTAATGCGAAGCTTCGAGGGGGCTAGAAACAATCCGTTCCAGTTCAAACATCTACAGTTGTGCCATAGCATGGCAGAGTTGAATCAAGTTCCTAGTCCAAAGGTGCGAACGAGTGAAATTCGCGAATATCGCGTCGAGTATTATTAAAGCTACCTCGTGTGTACGAATGTTTCAGGTCGTGCTCGCGAGCACTCCGGACATGGAATGCGGTTTCTCGAGGGAGTTGTTTCTACAGTGGTGCGGCAATCCGCAGAACAGTATTATTATAACGAGTAGAACGTCGCCAGGAACGCTGGCAAGAGATTTGGTAGAGAAAGGTGGTAACAGGAACATTACGCTGGAAGTAAGACGAAGGATCAAGTTGGAAGGACTTGAATTGGAGGAATATCAGAGAAAGGAGAAACTGAAACAAGAACAAATGAAACAGGAACAAATGTACATACTCCGGTTACAGTAAAATTGCTTGCTACTAGTCACTAACTGGTAATCACCTCGTTACGTTTCAGGGAGACCGCCGACGTGAGCTCGGAGTCGGAAGATGAAATCGAAGTCGGCACCGGGAGGGGGAAACACGATTTACTAGTGAAACAAGAAAGTAAACCGGGCTTCTTTAAACAAAGCAAGAAGCAACACCCCATGTTCCCGTTCGTAGAGGAAAAGATAAAGATCGACGAATACGGGGAGATAATAAGACCGGAAGATTACAAGATCGCTGAGACTGTACCAGAAGTAGACGATAACAAAGAGAATCTGGAATTGAAGCAAGAGGACGCGGCCCATCATCCGGAAGTGGCCAACGACATTCCGACCAAGTGCATTCAAGTTACGCGCACGATGACGGTGAATGCGTCGGTCACGTACATAGATTTCGAGGGCAGATCCGACGGGGAATCGTTACAGAAGATTTTAGCGCAATTGAGACCTCGAAGAGTCGTGCTAGTCAGAGGGTCTCCGATGGACACCGAGGTCCTGGCTCAGCAGGCTCAGAGCGCGGGTGCTCGAGTGTTCATTCCAGGCAGAGGAGAGACGTTGGACGCTACGACGGAGACGCACATATATCAAGTCCGACTGACCGACGCTCTTGTCAGCGGCTTGAACTTCTCGAAGGGGAAAGGCGATTCAGAGGTGGCATGGGTCGATGCAATGATAACTGCTCGCGATCAAGTCTGCCGAGATGCCGTCGCTAATACAGGAACGGACGACGTTATAAATCAAAGCGACAAGATCCTTACTTTGGAACCGCTCCCGATAAATGAGGTACTCTATACGAAACTTCGATTCCCGTATTTGTAAATACAAATACGTCCGAACGTTTGTAACAGGTACCTGGACATCAGACGACGTTTATAAACGAGCTGAAACTATCCGATTTCAAACAGATTCTGAACAAAAGCAACATTTCTTCGGAATTCAGTGGAGGGGTTTTGTGGTGTTGTAACAATACCATTGCCGTTAGAAGGGTTTGTACCTCGTTGAATAAGTCTCTCGACATATAATTAACCTATCGTGTTATAATCTGACGTTCAATGTTCTAGCACGAGGCTGGGAAAGTGATATTGGAAGGCTGCCTGTCTGAAGATTATTACAGGGTACGCGAATTGTTATACGAACAGTATGCGATTGTATAGATTCTATTCTTTCTACTGACAAATCTAAATTTAATATAAAAATCGACTGTGTTTTTCATTCGAACCAGCGCCATCCTGTATCCTCCCGCGTTCTCAATTATTTTCATTGCGAAACACTCGACTTATTGTTTAATAATTAAATCATCAATTTTTTTAGTGTCATACGCGTCGTGTTTAATTCATAGAGATGGTTTAATTAGTAATCGAGTTTTCCATAAACGTGTGTAACCTGCATAGAAAGATTCAGTTCAGGTGTGACGTCTGACACATATGATGTGACATGCACTGCAGGGAAAAGTAGTCAGGTTAGTTTCGCAGTAAACGATCATGTACGGTGTACAACGTGTACAGAGTAAAGTTTCTCGATAAACGATTTCGGAACGTGTGTAAAACGATTTCTGATAAATGATCGAACGAAATTTCTGTTGCAGAATTCCACGTATGCGTGGGATAGTCGGCGAACAATAAATCGTTGCATATCAGTTACGTACATACACATTCGGCTAGTGATTACGTAAATATTTCGAAAATATGAAAAAATACTACCAAGCCGCGCTGCTAGTGACCGCGCTCGTGAGCCTCGTGTCTTTATTATTCTACAGGCACGAGTACAATAAGTTGAGATACGTTTTAGAAGTTTTCAATTACTTCGGCAAGCCGAACCAAAGGAGCGCCGAGACGAATTGTACAGACAACGTGTCAATATTTAGCAAGTTTAGCGTGAGGCTCGAGGAGCCGACGTCCTCCTGGCAAAGACTGGAGAACGATTTGTATGTTTATTCCGCGTATAATATAAGGGACAAGGAGATCCAGGCAGTAGGTCTTGCTTCGCTGAACGTCATCAAAGATGTACAGTGTGCAGTGTTATTTGAAAACACTGTGCCAATCTTAGGAAGCTTTAGTTCGATTCCTATTGACAACGGTACAAACGTTGATAAGAATTTCGATCACAGGGGGTATCATTTCTATTGTGCGTACACGCGAAACGAAATACCCGTAGGGGTAATGTTCCTGACTGAATTCGATTCGAATCAATTCGAGTATGATGCTACACCGATCCTGCCACTTAAGACTCAACCGCAAAGTTTAGATTATACCAATGCTGCGATCTGTATAATACCACCGACGATAAGATCTATGCAACTCTCGCAGATGATCAGTTTCATAAACTTCCACGATCTGATCGGTGTCGACAATTTTATAGTATACGACTTCGGTATTCCGAACGATTTCAATAGCAGGTTCAGGGAACTGTCGAGATCTCAGAGTCCCTATTGGAAGTTTACGTACACGGTTCTACCGTGGAATTTCCCTTTCCTTGGACTTGATTCTTCTATAATAAGAGATCTTATACAAGCAGATTGCCTCTATCGTACGTACAACAAAGTGATGTACGTCGTTGCGATATCTTGGGAGGAATACATAGTTTTAAAGTATCACCACACTCTCACAGACTTAATGAAAGATTATAAGAAATCGAGACTGAAAGCAGAGCGTTATAAATTAAGTTCGTCGACCTTTTGTACTCAACAGACGGACAGTCCGGCCGTTAAAAATGTAAGTTACACGATATTTAAGAAGTTCACCTACTATCCAAACGTTCCTGACAATCAACCGATTTACATTTATAACACTCACGAAGTATTGTCGAGAAAAAATATTTTTACGAGAGACATTGGGAAAGATTTAGCCACGGTGAATCATTATACGTATTGCCGTGGAAATCAGTTTTATACGGAAACAGGGGTTGAAGATAAGTCAATCGCTAGGTTCGTCGAGGATATACAGAGTTCGCAAATGTTTCGAACGTTCGCGAAGGAGAATAAATTGTTACTAAACGCTCGATGATCATCAGGACCGAGGGTTTTTGTCCGTAGATATAAGAAGGTAACATTGTAATACAATTTGTATAAATATAAAGTGAGAACGATTTTATTTGCAAACTTTACAAAGGTTTCGTAATTTCACTTGATTTCGTGATGCATTTTTCTTACCTTAGCGGAAACGATATTAAAGAACAAAAGAAATCGTGATTAAACTTAATAACGAGTGCCAGTGAATCATTGAAACTGTCTGGAAATTGTTACTTTCAAATATTTCAATGTATATTTAAGAATCGTCTAATCGATACATTGCTTAGTAAGAATCTAGAAAAGAGATTTTATTTCAGTCGTTGAATTATTGTTGTGTTCTGTAAACCAGCTTCTTCGATAGTTTTGTCCTCTGTAAGCTCCTTCGTAGGGTACATCGTTAATAAACTGAACTCTCTCATAGCGTACTGAGGTCTCATACTGTTGATTACGATTAAGGAACAATCGAACACAAATTTTATATATTTTAGTAAGACGTCGATGATCGAAAAAGGATACGTTATTATGTACTGCCTCAGGTCGTTCATTGTATGAGTTAAATTAAATTGAGCTTTAACACTGCTACCGTCGGCGAGACGAATTTGTAACGTTGTAACAGGCTTCGATTCGTCTAAGTTTAACTTTTGTTTCGCTTGGGCCTCGTTCGCAGTTTGGTCCGCGAGATCCGTCGGCATCGTCATGCCAACCGTAGCCGGCGAAGGGCTGAATTAAAAACAACTGCGTTTAATATGTACCAAAAGAAGGTCATCTTTCTGTAGAGTACACACGTACCTGCCCAACATATGTCCTTTTCCAGTGAAGGCTTTCACTTTGACTTTCGGAGGAACGTACGTTTCGTGACGGTGGTCTTCCATGTCGAGGCGCGCCTCGGTACCTTGAATCTCCTGCCGGATCTCCGCCGGTATCTCGCCACGTTTTATAGTCTCCAAGAACTCTCTGTTCTCCGGATCGGTGTAAAGCCGTAATTCGGAATCGTTGATAGTGAACCCATCCTTCCACAATTTTAACGTGATCAGTCCAGAATTCGTTTGTTGGTGATTAGACGAGGAAGCGTTCACAACTGATAACAAGAGAAATATTTAATGCGACACGCCTCTCACGACGTACGCAGTAGTGACTCGATAACGTACTTTCAGTATCGGAACTAGTTTGACCTAACTTGTAACCAGTACCACTGAAGGTGTTTGGTCTCTGCTGCCCACTTGGTTTTTGTTCTGCGATCGATTGTCTTTGACATGATTTGAACATATCGCTAACGATATCCTTCTTCTTCCCCGGCCCCAGAATTTGCTGTCCAGTGTGTTTCGAACCGCCGGCATAGAACGCCTGTCCTTCCTCCTCCTCGGGACTGCTCTCTCTATCTTTGAAATCACTGAGTACCGCGAACTTAGCCTTCGGCTTTCCCTTATCCTTAGATGATTTCCCTTCCATCTCTGACGGGTTCACGCCTCTCGCACTCTTCTCAGCAATATTGGCACGATCCTCTTCCGACGTTGCGCCTTCAGTGGGGTCATTAGAAGGTAAAGCGAGAGGATGGTAAAACGTGTCGAGAGCAACCTGAACAAGACGACGATAAATAATTGACAGATACATCCAGAGAGTGGAGATAAAGAGATACTTAAAGATAAATTGTATCAGCGGGAAGCAACGACGTGCAAGCAATTAGTTTTACAACTGATCGTATTTTTAGGCACCTATACTGTCATTGAGAATATTCCCAAAATAAAACGTCGAACAATTTGGATCGAAACATCAGCGCTGCGCGTTTATACGTTCGTCAAGGCAAACCCTTAGCTCGGAGGAATGATACAGCCTCGTTCAAAACGTCAGAGTCATTCAATTAAGCGTTGTAACGGTGTCAACGTTCGCACGACCTTAGGTTATAACGCTCGTGTCGAAGTGATACGAATGAAATTGCAGTGAGCACAGGCAATTACGATCGACGCTTGCGAAAGAACGTATTAACGATATCTGCTGTCTCACCTCGAGCTGCCAGCCGGACAATTCAAGATAGAATTGCGCCTCCTCGGGCTCGACTCCGGTCGTTTCTATGAATTGCGAGACCAACTCATCGTGGTTCGCCATTGATAGCAACTGAGAAACCCTCGCGACGGCGGTCAGTCCTTACGTAGCTCCTTTTTGCTTCCTGTATTTATGTTCGTGCAGAAAAAAACTCGTTTGTCCCGATAATTTCTTTTGTCCGGTTGTTCAACTTTACGTCAATCTCTTCAATTTACCTGCCGTCCCTTCCATTCGCGTGGAACTGAACCGGATACATATAGACATCAACGCGAATCCGCGAGAGGTTTGAACGCGCAGCTACTGGTCACAATTTTCCCATTCCAACGCTTTCACGTAATTCCACTTATTTCGACTTGTCAATTAGAAAATGTTTCATTACGTTACGTGAGAGGAGTTGTTAAATCGGTTTGAAGATTATGGTACGTGGGAAAATAAAGCCGTGCCACGTTTTATCCAATGACTCTCAGGCAATCTGGTTCTCAAAGGCACGCTAATTATATAATTTTTTGTACAAGTTCTGACATTTCTTCGTCGAACGGTAGCTGCGAAAATAGGGCAACGATAGACATTGTCTGCCTCCTCTTTGTTCCGCGAATACTTGAGACGTATCGGTGGCATTTCTTGCCACGTTTCGTTCGTGCAATTCTCAATCAGTATTTTGTTCTCGAGATCCCAGCGGGCACCGCTCAAGTGTAGCCCTTGAATTAAATATCCATCTGTGTCTTCGTCAATCTCATCCTCTGTCATTACTTGGAAATTCAAGAACGTCTGCTCGACAGACGTGTTATATTTTTCGGAGAACGTCAATAGTATCGCGGAGATGAACATTTTACAGTGGAACAGCGCGTCGAAGCGAACTACTCTCGAGCATCCCTGATCCGTCCAATTTTTTAAGAAATTCGCTCGCTTTACCAAATTCTCAACGTATCGCGTCAGGTTCTCAGTAACGATATTCGTTTCTACTTCTTTCCAAATGCTTGGAACTCTTTTCTGGTAGATTTCTTCTGCCAACTCTTTCAGTGAATCCGTGAAATGAATAGAACCGTTCAATGCTGATTTTAAATTATTCAACGTCTGTGTAACGATCTCCAAAGTACGTTTTAACGATTTAATTTCGCGAACGAGAACTCTTTGCAACGGCTCTCCCAGCGTAGAAGTACATTTTTCAAAGTCGTCAATCCCCGTCGATTGATACAACTTTTCGTTGATGCCATCGATTATAATTATTATCAGATCTTGTTGCAGTTCTACGTGTCCTAATTGTTTACTGGTATTTATAGACGCGAAGGAAGACAAAAATTCAGTAGCTATCGTAGCGTTTCGGATGACGAGACCATTTTTGTCAGATCCGAAAACTTCAGGAGACAAACTCGGTGGAATCCTTTTAATGTGTTCGATTACGTAATCATATTCACATCTCTGTGGTATCATCTCTTCTATATCATTGGAAAACGTGTAACGATCGCTCTCGACTATGTTAGAATTGCAATAATCACTTAGAAGATGTTTCAAGCACTTAGCGTCGCACCTATCTTCGATTTTCCCACCGTAATTACATTCCCCGATCAGATGTGACAAAATGTGATAGGGTACACGATCAGTATCATTTATGAAAGTTTGTAGTTGCAAAACGGATGTTTGAAGATCGACGTGATCGAATTTATATGGCGTACTCCATCCCCGAATCCCGAAATTTTTTCTCTCTTCCACGATTACGTGAAACAAACATATCCCAAAGAGGAGTTTCGAGAATGCTTTGTCGTTGCCTGGACAACCTTCGAAGAATTCTTTGTCAATTATAGGCTCGGACTGATAAATGTTCAACAGCGTCTCTTTAACGTCCAAAGGACGATCTTGCATTATCTTTATACTGCTTTGGAGAATACTGATTGGAAATTCTTTGATCGGATAACTGGACAACCATAATCGAAAATCTAGAGGGACGTTACCGGTAGCGAAGTCTTCGCAGACTTTCTCAAGGCGAATCAACCAGTCTGGCATCAAGTGACAATTTTGCAAGAATACCCAGCTGCCTTCTTTGACAGCTTTCTGTATAAGAAGTTCAGCGTTTCTTTCGTGCCCTTTGCTCATAGACAGAGACACGAATTTTGATGAATACCCCTTAGCTTTCGCGTAGGAAAGGATCAAAGACAACGGCGTTAAGCGCGAGGGTAAAATAAATAGAATTGGAGTTAGGCAACTGGATTCAGCGTACGATTCAGATATTTTAATCCTTGGAGAGTTTCGTACATTCCCTAACACGTCCTCTATTAATTGTATTACTTTCGATAAAACTTCGTCGGGTCGCAAAATTTTTATAATGATGAGTTTTTGGAACGAAGATAATTCATTAAGCCAGGGTTCTGGCATCGAGTGATCTTCGAGTGGTTCAGAAGTGTGATAGTGTTCCCAAGCTTTACTGTTGGAACAGAAATCGTTAGCTAGATCGTGAAACTCAGGTAGTGTCTCGCTAAGATGGCAAATATTTATCCAAGTATTAGTTGGAAGCCAATTGCACGGATAATTTGGAACCGTCTCGGTGCCAGTTAAGTCTGGTGCCATAAAATAGTTGATCTCTTCCTCGGTCGTTTGATGCTCGTTCAACAAGATCTTCGAGCACAATAGGAACGAGTACAGCACCTTGTGCTTTTCTGATAACGATCTGCAGATGCTCGAGTGGAGATTTTGAGTGAAGGAACGCTTCAAGAATTTCAGACGCTTTTCCAAAACAGCGCTTTTATTCGACGTTTCGATCGATATTCTGTATAATTGCATGAACCACGAGAAAGAGAACCGATACATGTGATTTATATTGGACAGAGAGTTTACTACGTTGAATAAATCTGCACAGTATTTAACGAACTGCACGTAAGAGTATCGAAATTGATTTATTTCTAAAGACGTTTGTTTCGTTGCTTCTTGTTTCTTAATTATGTTCAACGAAAGAGTCTTTGAATTGTCCAAACTTCTTATGGCAACTTCGTCCTCGAGAATGTTCGTCGTTGTCGACGATAAGATGCCTAAAACAATGTCTTCCTGTTGTCTCAATATCTTTTTATTGTTGGCATTCTCCATGAATAAAGCCTCGAACTTCTCTTGAAGTTCTGGCTTCTCCTTCGAGACAATAAAATCCAATAACTTATCTTGAAGAGCCTCGTTCGGAATCGAGAAATCGATTATCGTCAGCTTGCTGAATGTCTCGCATGAAAATTGGGGATTCAGCAATTGTGACGTGATGTATAAGCGAAAATCAAATGAATATTTTATAACGTTCGAGCCGGTGTCCAAATAAAAACACTTCCCGTCGTTGTAAATATTTTTCAACAGAAATGGATCTAACGACATTTCTAATTCTTCCCGAACATTTTCGATCAGCGTAGGAATACCGTGTTCAGCATTAAATTCAATTATCGATAAACAATTGGAATCAGTGAGCTTCACGATCTTCAGATCATTCTTTTTTTCAATTCTCCTGATCCACTGATTCGCTTCATTCTGTGAGTCAATCAGCAGAGGCCATAACTCGGAATTATTCATAATAATCGCGTTCTCAACCGAAGAAGAATTCTTCGGCAAACCCGAAAAGTGCCAATAGTTAATATCGTTCGCTTCTCCGAGTATATCTGAAAAATCGAACTCTTTGCTACGAGGTATCTTCAATTCGTCTACGTAATTTTTCCACTGCATCGAGATCTTATTACGAAACAGAACGTTATAGGATCCTGCATAACTAATGACTCCACAAGTCAGTATCATGTCTCCCACGAGATTGTCATAATCCTTTTTAAGATTCCCCGCAGACTGTGCCCACCGATCCTTTTCTCCTCCCAAACTGGCCATCAGATTCTCCGCCTTACGAAGTTTCACGGTACAATCTTCCACTTCTCTCTCCAATTCGATCTTCTGCTGCTGCGTCTCTCGCAAGCTGCTGTTCAACGCCTCGAGCTTAGCGTTCAACGCATCGAGAGTCTCCTGTTTCTCCTTCAGAAACGCTTCAGCTTCGTTACACTCCTTCTGAGCTATCAGTAATTTTTCTTTCTTAGGTGCAACGGCTTTCGCTACCTCGTCGTAAGACACCATCGCCCTTACCCACTTGCAAAGACCTTCCGCGGCGCTCGACGCTTTGGCAACGATGTGTGGTTTAAAACTGCTGTCCGATATGTACGTCTTTTTAACGACTTGCACGACGTTAGACGGTATATCGTCCTTGTCGTAATCTTTCAACGTTTGTAAGAAGTTCATGTCGCTGAGGATACGTTTGCTGGGGGTCCAATAGTCGATGTACTTCTTCCCTGTGACTGGGTCGATGGCTTTGTCCGGATGAACGTCGAGCATCACGCAAATCGCAGCCATCACCAGTTTAACAGTATCCGGAGGGTTCTTCATGGCTTTTACAAGAGTTATGTCTGTAGGTTTCAACGTGTTCAACGCACCTACAGCGTCTTCTAAGATCGGGATGGCCACCGCTAAATCTGCTTCGCACTCGGTCTTCAATCTCCCAGCGATTTCCGTTTTCTCATTCGCTATCTCCTTTTCTCGTTGCACCAGAGCCGTCGCCTTTTCCACGCTCACGTTTTCACTCTCGACTTCTCTCATAGTGATCATCATCTTCTCCGCCGACGATTCCAATTGCGGTTTCAGCATCGTCAATATATTCTTCATCTTCTCTACCTGGCCAGCTGCCAATTCCAGTTTGTCTAAACCTGCCAAATATCTGTTCCTCATCGTGACAATGTCTCTTTGCTTCTTGCCTAACAGTTGAACGTACAATTTTAACGTATGCAGAAACGCGGCCAGAGTGACATGATTTCTTATCTTCACTTGCTTGTAATATTCAGTGCTCACGTCGTCCATGTGTTTGTGCAATTTTATGCACGCTTTCGTCACGTTCGTTTTCAGGTTTTCGTTCACATTCACTTGTTGAATGTATCTCGAACCGATTTGTACGAAAGTCTCCATCGGCCAGATCTCGTACCAATTCATAGTACAATACTTCACTAATTCTGGGTACTTGTGTAAGTTAGATCTGAGCGATGCGTTGGTCTCGTTGAAACAGATCATAATGTGTAGTTTGTTGTTGCACTGTTCTAAGAAATAACTCATTACAGCCTGATTGCTTATCTCCTCGTTCTTGTTCCCACCTTGTGCGTCCAGGCGTACCATTTCGATAATTTCGCATTTCTCTGTGACCGAGAATAGATCGGGTATTTCCCCGGTGGCTAACAAGCAACTGATATCGTGGAGAAAGTCACCCTTTGTTCCTTTGTCTTTTAAGAACAATATTAAATTTTGTTTCAGCCCTCCACATTTTCGTAAGACAGTTTTTAGATCTTTTCTCCATAAGTGAAAATCGCGATACGATTGAACGGGTGGTTCGAACAGTTCTTGGTGCTGCACGAAAGCAGCGAGGCTCGCCAATGACTTCCTTCCGAATCCAATACCAGCGATCATTAATAAATTGCCCCCGGGTATAGTTAAAATTCGTGAGATTTTTATTAAACATTCTAAGACGTACTGCGACGTCACGATGTCAATTCGTTTTTTATTATTGTTATTGTATTCGTTTAGGCAGGAAAGGATTTTATTCTTTAACTTCTCGATAGAAATGATCTCTTCGTATCTCCCATTCCCATTTTTATCGTTCATGAAACTACTGAACATTAGATGGTTGAAACTGTCTTTGGAGATCTCGTTCTTAGATTTCGGTAAGTAGTCGAAAACCGTTTCGAACGAGTCTTTGAAATGACGTTTACTCACTTCCCTGATCAGCGAGAACAGCCACTGTTTATCGTTGCCGTCTAATATCCTGTCACCGAAGACACGCCAGATCTCGTGAGCCCAGATGCGAACGAATATAATTTTGGTCTCTACCGACTCTTTGCAGAGGAGGCTGCACCCTTCGATCGCTTTACTCATATCTCTCAAACTAAACAAATATTGGAATTTGGCAGGAACTGGTCTCAAAGTCTTGGTCACTGAATTGTACACGTCGATCGTTGCATTGGTCATGTTAGTCACAGTATTAAATACGTCGGCAGTAAAGGAATTTCTTTTTAGATTGTTAAAGAGCACGTTTGAAAATATTCTGAATATATTGTCCGTCGTAGGCGTGTATATAGTGTAAAAGCTGAAGTGTCTGAGAAATCTGGGGCACACTTGAATCGCGGAACTCTCGACGATTGATAACGAAAATACTATATCGCGGAGATAAACTTTCTCAGGTTCATCGACGTCGTAAAAGTAGCCACAGTTATGATACTGACGAAGGAGTTCGAAAATGCTGTTTATTTCTGATTCATCGTTGTATCTCTGGATGTTGAGATCGTCTATAAAATTGACACAGAACTGCCCTTTCGGTGGACCGTAGTGCTTCTTCTCTATCTTATTCAATCTCGACAAGAACAATTTCTGCGTCGTAACGACTTTGCTCAGTAAAATAAAATTGTACAAATTGTAGCGCACCCCCTCAGGCAATTTATTTTTCAAGAAATTTCTTATGAGCATCGTTTTCCCGATTGATGTGTCCCCACAGATTACGAAAGGTCTTTTGTGTTTCACGTGTTTCAATAATAAATGATTGTACTTTATAGTGTTAACAGTCGGTACGAAGATCTCGTTATAATTAGGACTGTCTAATATTTGTTCGTTCTTCAGAATATCGACGCTTCCCCAATACTTCCAATTGCCAACCCCCTTAAAGATATAAAAATTGTCTTGTATCAGACCCTCGTGAGGCAGCGTCACATCAAAGTTTTTTATCACTTCTGGTTTCGGATACTCTTTGCCACCCCAAAATGACACACAGAAAGAATTAAATTTAACATGAGAATCTATGTTCAGTTTACCACCCAATCCCCAAGTGATCGATAATATAAGAGCAGCCTGTGCCCATACTAAAAAATGACTCGTCTTTGCCTTTTCGTCACCGTTCTCCGTAAGTGCATCGCTCAGATACATTTCAAATAAATCCAGCGTCGACGTTACGCAACGCAATCGATCCGTGGCTAAAACCGCGGTACAATTGTTTCGCAAAAATTGCAACGCAGGCTCCATTGCCCAATTGAACAGCACGAACAATGGTCCTTCGTATCCATTGTACATTTTATTACTAGAAAAATGAGTTTCGACGTACGATCTCCAATCGATGGAATCCGATTCCACATAAATTACACCACAGGCTGACACAATAGCTGGAGATACATTTTCTATGTTCATTGTTTCGAAAATGACAGACACAGAATCTGTATTTATATTCTCGCCCGATGCTAAATGCAGTGTTTTACTATTGTCAACGATCGTATGTAAATTGTCGATCCACGTATTTTTCATAGGTCCATCGAATATTATCCATTTTTTACTAGGAAGCTTATTTTGAGAAAAGGAACGAAATACTTTAGAACAAACCCCGTCCTTCCAAATATTAGTTTTCTCATCAAAATGACCGAAAAGACGGTCAGTGTCAATTGCACTTGGGAATATTCTCTCTAATTCTATATTGACACCAAATTCAATGCCTTGTTCGTGTAAAGAGGATAAAACTGCTCGGAGAACGTTTAATATCTCTGTTTTTCCTACCAAGGGTTTTCCGATGATTACCAGAGATTGATAAACGTAGACTAATTCAAACAATTGTAAGATTTTCAACTTAAAAGAATCGTGATTACGAATAGATCTCGATTCACACACTGCCTCGAGAGTTTCTAAAAACGTCGTATAATCAGGAGGCGACAAATTAGTATCCGGAAAAACATTACGCATTACACTTGTAAAAATGTGTATATCAGCACGACAGAGTCTCGGAAGAATAATATCAATCAGCGAACGTAATAGTAATACGTTCTCATCTTCCTCTGGACAGCTCCTCTTTAAATAAATCATACTTCTGATAATCGCTTTTATAGAATACATGTTGAAATTATTGCACGATTCGCACCACAATTGGTCAGACAATATCTCATAGAGTGTAATCAATTTCGAAGCTAATAACTTGGAGTTAATCACGCCACCAGCAGAGATCTCGACTTCTACGATCCTACGAGTGTCTGGCATTATCATGGACGTCGTTCTAAATAAAACTTTCAAATTATCTGGTATATTAGAACAACGAAATGGATCCAGCTTCGTTACAATACTGATGTGCCCGGTTGGGTTTATTTTTAATGAAACACCTTCCAGCGTTACTCTCCCCAACTTCCTAGCTATGGCTTGAAAGGTAGTGGTTAAACCTTCAGTGATTCTCGATAACAGATCACTGGGTAGTTCGTCAAAATTTTCGAAACAGAGCCACGTACCACAGGTGATGAATCCGCGAAATATTTGAGAGAGGAGATCGTAAGATGATACGCTGGCACAGTTGAAAGATCGGAATTGTACTGCCATAGCCTTTGCTAAACTCTTAACAGTCTCTGATTTTCCCGTAGCAGACGGTCCTACGACAGCTCCGTACAGGTGATAGTTATACGCTTGCATGAGAACATGAAAGCATCTGTTCGTTAAAGGAGTGTGAATTATGTGTTGTTTGTAATAACTGTATTCGTACCCGTATTTTACGTTCGTATTAAAAATTGACACGTTTACGTAATCCATTAATAAATAATATCGCAGTTGTGCGACCCACTCGAAATCCGTAAGCGCACTATTCTGTTCCAACAGTAATTGAATAACATCTCTCTGTTGAATCACTATGATGATCAAAGACGTTAACAGGTTCCTTAATCTTTTTGTAGAGTAATTTTTTAATTGAGCAGTCAAACTATTTAGATGATCGATATAGCTTGAATGTAGAGAACTCAGAGATTCAGAATCTAACGACGAGAGACACCTGTGTATCGCAGTGGTCCAATGAAGTTGATGAGCGCAAACGATTGACATACTTGGGAAATTTATAATACTGCTTAAATCGAACGTGTTGCTAAAAATTTGATGACACTCAGAAATGCTATTTTTCATAGTGCTCTTCATCTCGTTTTCCAAATGTATCAACCAGTCCTCTTCAGGGTAGCTACACGAATCGATCACCTTTTCTAAATATAATTCCTCATTACAATCGCCAACAATAATACACGTTCTTTTATTACATTTTATTTTCAATATCCCCTCGAAACATTTTTGTAAATGCGGTGTCTGAAAATTATTGGACTCGAATAGTACTTCACGAACTTCTTTGTCAGAAAGAAAATAGAATCTCGGGAAACGCAGCCTCTTGGTTTCTATATAATCTTTTATTACTTTATTTATATGCTCAAGTTTTCCAACGATATCGAATAAAGATTCTAACAAATGAACATCGTCGATCTGCGCGAAAGTAGGATTCAACGAAAGTCCATTTTGCACAGATTTCAAGCTATTTTCTACTTCTTCGTATAAGAGAGATTCGTCACCTAAATATACTTCTATGGTAGGATAATTAAGAACGGAGCTCAAACAGTTTAGGATCATTTGTATGTAATTCCACTGATTAATAATTTCCTGGATTCTAGTGAGAGATTCAAAGAAGTTTGTCATGGTCGAAGCCATTTGTCTGATAAAATTCGAAGTCCTCATCTCTTCGATTTTTACGAGATGGTCTTCCAGTAATAATTCTATATCGTTAGAACTGGAAAATACGTTCATCCCTGTTTGGTGGTCGAAACTAATGTCAAAGGAAATTCTATCCCATTCCTTGATCATGTTCGATAATTTCTGTCGTAACTCCGACTCTCTATTAGCGCCTATACTGATAGACTTATACTTCTCGATATCGTCCATCAAATTGAACGAAATTATTTTTCTCAGACTGGTCCCGGCGTTGGGCGTAAGATCGAAATTGCAAATCTCAGACATTTCTACCCAGTGCCTTTTCTGCAGAGCTGGATTGCACATACACGTGACCAAAGGCAAATACCGTTTAAACTCGTTTATGTCGTTGAGAGCTTGCCAGCAAAGTTTCAACGGAGTAGGTTGTTGCATCGGTTCCGGATCATCCGCGATACCAGAGAATTTGAAACATTTATTCGCCGATACGTCCATCTTAATTCTTGTACGAAACGTCTTGCTCATCTCAGTAATTTTATCGAAATAATCGAACGTCTTGCTCTCTATGGTACCAGCGTTCAACCATTCAAAGGGACCGTCCAACCACACCACGCTGTCCTTCTTCCACTGATAAACTATATGAATAAGTTCATAAAAAGATACGATTATCTCGTGTACTTCGATCACGTTCGGGAATTCAGTTTCGGGAAATTTAAACAACGTCTCCTCTTCGTTGATCTTCTGCATCTCGCAGTTAATCTGATTCACTTGCTTAAGGAGTCCTTTATAATATTCAAAGTAGTCATCTATTCTATTTATGTCGTCCATCTCGTCTAAAACGCTGAGCTGAGGAACGAGATAGTCCACCTGAAGGTTTAAATTACTTATCCTCTTCTGCATCTCATCTTCGATCTCGTTTTTCATCGCTTCGCACAACGCGTTATTTTGTCTAAACACTGGCTCGATCTCGCTCAGCCAGTTGACAGTCTGTTTGTTCAGTTGAATATGATTTTCGGGCAGAATACATATTTCTAACAATACAGCCAACATGTTTATCGAGTCTTGAATCCTGCCTTCTAATTCACCGATCAGTTCTCGCGATGCGTACGATATATAATCGGTCAATTCGATCAGAGCCTTCGCGTCACTCGGGATGTTTAACGCTTTCGATTTTAACTCCTCGAAATCTGCACAAATCGATCGATTAAATTCTTGATGGTATTTGACAAGCTTAATTAGAAAAGTGTTTATGATGTTATGGGACTCTTTCTTTAGAGCTTTCTTAGCTTCACGTTGCTCTAATTTCCCTACCACGTGATAAGTATTCATCACCATTGCATTCGCTTTTATTAAATAATTTTTGTACTTTTGTACATGTTGGAGGTACAAGTCAAACTTTACGCTCCCAGATGTTAGTATTATCGTTCTCCTCCTTAAAGGCGCGCAGATGGGATAGAATTCTTCGATAATATTCGCCGTGTGATTGTTTATAGGTTCAAATAAATCGCCTAGAATAATTTCCAGCTTCTCGTGGAACTCTTCAACGTAGCAGTCTGGCAATTTTATTTTCATGTATGTAGAACTCGTTTTTATATTAAGCCATTCTTCTAATGGGATCAAGTCCTGGGCAATCGACATGATCCTTTCAATTATATCGTGATAAGTAGAATGTATCGTCTCGATGCTAGGACTGAGGAGCAGTTTCCCATCTTTCATGACAAGTTCGAATTTAATTTGAGGACAGTGATACTCGTTCCTCAGGGTATTCAGCATGTGATCTATAGATCTTATCATAATATTTACGATCTGCTGTGTGAAAACGTTCGTCACGCAGCACATGACTTTCGACGATCTCCTCTTAGAAAGGTTCCTTAACACTTTACTCTCTGCCACGGTTCTGGATACCTCAGCGTAATACTGATTAGTTATTAATAATGATACCTTTTTAATATCGCTATGAACCACGTTTTGGAAATCGGTTAAAGACATGAGACCGAGGTTACGATAATATTCAAAGTTGCAGATAACTGCTGGAAGTTTAAGTTGGGCTCTGCTTATAATGAATCTTATTGGTTCCAAATGAAGGAAATATATCTTCCCTAAAATTTTACAGTGCCTTAAAAATTTGAACTGAGAACTCTTTTCAACTAAAGGCTTATAGTTTACAGAATTGAAATCGAGAGATTGCTCCCCATTTCTTTCTGGATTTGATAATACCATTTGATTCAACAACTTTTGCATGTCTTTAATATACATATCCCTTATTTCTCTTAGTATCGAGTCAATTATTGATGAATACTTGTTCTTATATTCCTTCGGTAACAAGTTCAAGATCCTGTCCTCCCAATCGGTGGGGAACTCTTTGAAATGAATATGCTTCAAATACATTTTCATTTCGCTTTGTATCGGAGTCAAATGAAACAATCGATGCGCACTTGCCATACCTATATTTCACGCCAATTTCGAAAACAGAGAATTCTTTTCTGCAAACACTTAACTAACTCGAACTTTGACACGATGGTTGAACTGTAGTTAAGGGATGTTTTATCGATATTCTAACACTGACATAAACTCCCCTTCGATAAAGCAAATGGCATGAATTCAAATGTAATTAAATCAAGACTTACCAGAGCTGTTCGAAGCACCGAGTTATTTATTGATCCTTTGATTCCGCACAATCACACTTTGTTTTATCACCGATCTAACGAAATTCTACACTGTACAACTTCGATCTTTGACTACAGCTTCGATTCGATCTTCGCTTCGACTCACGATCGATCTCGAAATCTCGACTTGATTAACTTGATTGACGTTCGTTGCGTCTCATAAGTTTCGATACGAGTGCATTTATCAATAGAGAATATTGTTAATGTAGAAGATTCACGAAGATGAGTAACATTTACATACAAGAGCCGCCCACTTCGGGGAAGGTAAATATTCATTCAAAATACTTCAATCCGTCGTTCGTCTCGTAGAACCTAACCTATACTTGATGTTGACAACCGAATTCTCTGCATTAAAACATTGAATAAATCAACTTTAAATAGTATTGAACTTCATTAAAATTTGGCGTGGTTTCTGGGGACAGGTGATGATGAAAACCACGGTCGGCGATATTGATTTGGAACTGTGGGCTAGGGAGACTCCAAAAGCCTGCAGAAACTTTATACAATTATGTATGGAAGGCTATTATGACAATACGATATTTCATAGAATTGTCAAGGGGTTCATAGCGCAGGGCGGCGACCCAACGGGGACAGGGGAAGGTGGTGAGAGCATATACGAACAGCCATTCAAAGTGAGTTTAAAGAATAGCCTGATCACTACTTTTCCTTCAATTTCTAAATCATAAATCATCTTCTCAGGATGAATTTCATACAAGATTACGATTTTGCCGCCGAGGTTTATTGGCGATGGCTAATGCTGGGAAAGACGACAATGGTTCCCAATTTTTCTTCACCCTCGGTTCTACACCGGAACTACAAAATAAACACACAATCTTTGGCAAAGTTACTGGTGAAACTGTATATAACATGCTGAAACTCGAAGAGGCACTCGTGGACGAGGTAAATCGAAGAAGAAGAAAAATGTATGAATCTTTATTATGAGGATCGTTCAAGTGATGTGATTTTCGGTTTTAGAACGACAGACCACTTTATCCCCCGAAGATTTTAAAAACAGAGATATTGAACAATCCGTTCCTGGATATTGAGCCAAGGGTAACGGCGAAGAGAAGCGAAGAAGCGAAAGATGGTTCGAAGAGTAAAAAGACCGGAGTAAAGTAAGACGTTCGTATGGCAGATTTTGTATATCTATGCATAACTCAAATATGTTTCAGGAATTTTAATCTTTTATCGTTCGGTGAAGAAGCGGAGGAGGATGAGGAGGAATCTGTGATATTAAATAAACAGTACAGCGGCAAAGGGAAATCGGCCCACGATCGTTTAGTTGATCCAAAACTGAGTGCACAGACATCCGTTGAACCGGGTGGTCCACCTAGTAAAAAGAAGAAGGAAGATCGAAGCAGCGATTGGGAGAGCGATGGTGAGGAGAAAACTCAAGAGGAATTAGAGGCAGCGAGAAAAGAGAAGGCGTAAGTTCTCTAAATTCTGCGATTTATAAAATGAAACACTGCTTTACTTACGTAATTAATACAGCGCGATGAAGGAGAGAATTAAAAGTAAATTAAGAGACACGAAAAGGGAGTCGAAGAAGGTGGAAAACTTCAAAGTAGATGATAAGGATGATAAGGAGGACGTAGAGGACGAGGCGTATTATCTTGGGAAAGACAGAGCCGACGAACGTAAAAGAAAAGCGTACGTATCTATTCATCGTATCATAAGCGTCGCTGATCCTTTTCTTAATTTACAAGATAATATTTTGATATTCGTGATTTATTGTCGTGCAGAGAAGAGATTAGGAAAGAAATCCGGGACTTGAAACGCGGTGTTCAAAATGAGAAGAAAGCGAAGGAGTTTGATAAGAAGGTACAACAGGAAAAGGAAGAGAAGAAGGAAATGAAAACGGAAATAATGAAGGAGTATATCGAAACTCAGAAAAAGTACAAAGAAGTGAAATCGAAATTGCCTAAAAAAGGAAAGACCCGTGAAGACTTCACTATGGAACTGTTAAGTAAATTCAAATCGAAGCTTCACAACGCTAAAGAGACGGTGAAAGACAGATCTCCGAGTCCGCCGAGAGTGAACGATGACAAGGACGAGGACTTCGATCCGAGCGATGAATCGTGGATGGTACATTCCTTACGCTGCGAGGAGAAGGCACCGGTACTTGCGAAAGACGCCAGTACAAAAGACGACGATTGGTTTGAAATTTACGATCCCCGAAATCCACTTAACAAACGTCGGAGAGGTGAAAACTCGAAGGACGACAAAAAGCGGACCGATTCTCGTCGCAAATAAAATCATCGTTCGCATGCAATTGTACAAAATGATCTGTAAACTGTATATTATGTTAAATATTATTTTATTAATATGAACCAGTGACGTTTCTTAATTTCCATAAAAAATTCCAACGTTTTACAGCCGCGAAAGAAGTGAAATCCGTGTGTACACAGTACTTCGGCACGATCGCGTTCACTTTGAGATAGATAACGCCAATGTTGTGATGGCAAAGGCGGATATCGGTAGTGGCACGGTTCTGTGCAAGTAGAACTTTGCTTATTCCGAACACAGTAAAACTTGATAAGGTGGCGATACAAACCATGACATGTTCCCCCGCACTGATTCAGTCGATCCGTCGACAGCGAACGATACGCTTCGCGTATTTACACACATAACTCCGCGATCTATTGAAGACTACGTTCGTTCGATCGATTATACGTACATGTATATTAAAAACGAAAGACTAATTAAATAATTACTTAAACTGAGATCATTTGCACGATCTTCTCGAGTAGTTTAAACTAATTAAGAGAGAAGCGAAATTGACTTAATTAAATTTAAATTGATATTTAAATTCGTCTGTTGTTTTTTTAATCAACTGCGCAGTTTTATTTATCAGTGAACCGTGCGTAGTGCATATTATTTTGAACGTAGCTACGTGCGAAGACACGGTGATCCTGAGTGGGTTCTATCCTCAGCATCCGCGCGGAGAATGCCAACAACGCCATTAAAAATAGACATGCTCGGTACGGTTTGTCTCTTCTACAAATTTTATTTATGAGAACCGCTAGAGCTTCGATTATCTCTTATCGATAAGTCACGTATTTCTCATAAATCGTTGCATTTTAATAAACATAAATTCGCTTCACGCGCTCATTCAAATTGACTCGCTAACGAGCCTAATATATTCAAACGAAGGCGAGCTGCGCATTTAAAATCTTCCGCGAGTATGCAACACTCGGTATTCATCATTCTTTTTCTTTGCCACGTGGTGAAACGATGCGTGAAGATTAAGCATCCGCCACGCGCATTATACGTATGCTCGCGCAGACATACCTTAATCGGGAGCTTTATATACGGTCCATCAAAATCATGTTGGCATTGATAATTGAATCAACTAATTACGCAATTATGGTATTTACTTAAGGAAATATATTGCCCTCTCGAGCCTCATTGATATGTATTCTTCTTTAATGTATATCATTTGATCCCAACAGCTCTCCCTTCGTCGGACAGAGGACAGAGGCTCCTCTATTTTATTATACTTATACACGTGTAAGAAACTATTGACCACGTCGTATGAATGGCAGGGCAATAAATGAAGTGGATCGTATTATGCCAATTATTATCGAAATTATTTTCTATATAGACAAAGACGCAGATAAAGCGAATTGACTTGAATAATGTTCGCGATCGGGCAATTACAATTTGTTCATAAATGTTGAAACTACAGATTCGATAAAACAATAGCTGTTTTATAGGAAAGGGTTATCGGTTCCGCTATTGGTGCAAAGGTGAACGATAAAGCCAATGCCCTCATATTTATCGAGCCATCGCTTATTGCAATCGGAATTCCTATTGCTATTTAATCACGCCACGGAAAAATTACTTAACTACTTTTTGCGATCAATCATCTACCCATTTTGTTTGTTTGGGAATGCCTCATTTCTTTTCTGGCTTCGAACGATAATTCCTTCAATAAAAATCGTTCGATTGCAAACGTCACTTCTCTGTATGAATATTTAGTACTTACCGTATTTGAATACAAACGCAAACATATACGTACATTGACCAAACGATACAGCAGTCTCCTTCCAAAATATTAAATTAGCTCCGAGCGAGTTCGTCCAATTACGCACTGCGGCCATTTGTTTTCGAATTTCTCGACTTACAATGAACAAACGTGAATGAACGGAAATTTACACGTATATGTATTTACCAATAAAAACTGTTTGTCTAACGTATTACTACGTGACGATGAATAGTATTATATTGTGTCATTCGAGATTATGAATTATCTATTAGCGACACTCATTATGTAATAAAGCAAATAAATAAATGTTGTAAAATTTAGTCTGCGTAATAAAGTTCTCACGTTCCTAAAAAAAAAAAAAATATACTCATTTCATTCCTCATATTTTTTAAATAGTGATTATACAACAACAACTAACAATCTTTCCGGAACACCCTGTATACGTTTTCGATTAAATAAGATTCGCATAAGCATCGACAATTGATAGTTATAAGAATCACAATGAAGGCTAAGCTCTTGCGCTTCGACATTTGAGTAGAGAATTTCGTCATTGCAATTTCGAGGGAATAATTTATATGAGAGTTTTGCAATTACCAGAGGACGGTGCCCGTCCGCGAGACTGGTACCCGCGCAGATCTCAGTACAAGGTGCCACTGAGAATCCTGCGATTATGTCTGATGGGAATAATTTTACCTGCGGTGTTGGTCGCGGGCCCGATGTACTTACGTTATCGCGTTTACTCGGAGCAACTTTACCCGGTAACCGTTTCCGATCAGAGGCTGATCGACGCCAGAGTGTCCACCACTTGGTGCCAGGTAAATAAATCCTTCTATAATTTAACGCTTGGACATCGCGAGTCAACGGATTCAAGTATTTTTAACACGTTGCTGACCGGTCACGAGTTAACTCGTGTTTTCGTGGCCAAGCGTCGGTGACCGGTCACGAGTAAACTCGTGATAAGCTTTTTTCCGCATCTTTATTGTTTTCACGGCGCACTGTTGGAAATCTTGTAGTGTAATTATTTGGTCTGCATACCTCAAGTTGTGTCTCGCTTATAAGACCGGCCAAGTTTCGTTCTTAGTTGTAAAAAAAATTTCAACGATGACCAAATTCTTCGAAAGGAAAACGGAGCGAAACCGAAATATTAGGAGTTGAATAATAAATAAAATTTATTAAAATTTATTTATATTGTTTTACTTCCACATCCGCTTTCAAAACAATAGCCGGGCACATGAGGTAAATTTTCAGAAAAGTTGCCGGTCAACAATGTGTTAAGATATCGGTAAAATCGTAAGATTATCGTGGAACGATTCTTGTCAGAGTCAACTGATCAAAGTTAATACGACGTTCAACGCGTATCTGATGAATGACGAGCCGAAGGTGGACAGCGAAGTCCTTCCAGTGTCCATGACGAGGCATCTAGTCCTGGAGGACGATATGAAAGAGTACTGGGGTTTCTACCTTCTTCGGGGTAGCAGCGTTACTGTCTCCACTTGCGTGAGGTAAGAGATCGTAAAAAGATGAAACGTAAAAGAATCAGAAGGAAAATTTGAAGAAACGGTTTCACAAGTGGGAACGTTTGATAGATGGCCCGGTGCTTCGTTGACGATAATTCGTGGCCACAAACATCTCCACGAGTGCGCGTTCATCGGGGACGACAGTAGCGAAGAGTTGGAAGAGCTGTTCGAAGTTGCGAAGGAAACTGGACTTCTGTCAGTGAATGGAACCGAGGTAAACAGATTCGGATATAAAAATCGGTAATTCAATTCCTAAGAGAGTGTAACAAATCTCGTACGATCGTAGAGTCCTAGCAACCAGCCGGAGAAGATGAAGAGAGTTCATCAAGGCATACAGTTCCATCACAAGGATCACGATCGTCTTCTGAACAGTACGAAACATATGGCCGCGCACCATTACAGCAGCCACGAATTAGACGCGAAGGCTATGAAGGCGATCCTCTCCGAGCTCTTCGTGAAGACTCTCGACACGAAGAAGAAGCAGAAAGAGAATCCTCATCACCACTACGAGGGTACCTTCGTGGAAACCGACAACATCGACAAGCCGCCGACCACTTTCGAGCAACGGGACGAGAACAAGCAGATCGAGAGCAAACTGATAAAAAGTTTCGAAGCAGTCCTGAAGAACGTGTCTACTTCTACGGTGACCGCGAAGCTGTTGGAGAACTATGAGAAATTGGACGAAGGGAACGTTTCGAAAATTGTTAAACAGAATCGGACCAGCGAGAAAACAATCGAAGAGGAGCCGACGTCGGCCGAGGTGTTTCGAGACGTTCTGGACAAGATCAACTCTCTTGGGTATCGTGGTAAGAAGATACTGAAGAAGTTGATGGACGAAATAGAGAAGAAAGGACCGGAGGGTGAAAATTTGCGACGGGTCGTGAACGAAACGATGAACGATCGGACGCTCTCGGATGCCGAGAAACGTAGAAGACGAAGAGACTTGGTCCTCTCCTCGCCCCTTCACAGCGAGTTGACAGAAGAAGACGAGGACGATGATGCTGCCATCGAAGAGGTAACGTTATTGACTATTGTTCTTAAGTTCAATACGAATCGATTGACGTCGTACATCTCGAGTTGAGAACCTTCCATAAAATTTTCCGCGAGAGGTTTCCACAGTGATAACAGTCGTCACGCGATCCAAGTCGGGAGATCAGAAGGGAACCGAGATGTTTAATCGTTGACTCAACCCCGGATAAAATTTAGTTCCATCGGTCGTTAAACGTGTCTTTACGCTAAACGATACCGGCTAATTTAGTAGATGTTAACGATCAGATCAGTGTTTTATCGCGATAGTTACAGTCTTTATTGCAGATTAACAACACGCATAATTGCCGGCGTTTGCGATTGCCGAGAGTTCTCTTATCAGAGTATTTTCGAGAAACGTTAAATATTTGCCAGGGAACGCTTTTAATTCTCCGGTGCAATGGGAAATATTTATAATTGTTTGAGAAGCATTCGATGTTTCATCGCGAGATAGGAACGATTAAGGATCAGGGAATAGTCGGTTTGCCAAGAGATAGGCGAAAGTTGCTTGCCAGAATTGGCAATTATGGCACGAAGGAAACGTTCTTGAACATCGTTCTATTCAATTTAATGCAAATGACGTAATGAACGCTTATTATTATTACTGCGACCATTGACTGTATGTTTGAAAATCATTGTTTTATTGTATAATTTCTGCCTATACATCAGGATATGTTGCATCCAGATGGGATAGCCGAGGACAGAGGCACGGTGAACGAGACGACGTTGAACGATAGAAGCAATTCCGAATTCTGGAGTTCGTTCAGCAGCTCCGAGGAACGTCTCCTGGATTGCAAAGGACTGATCCTGAATCTACCGTTGACGCCCCATCGGCATTGCACCCCGAAACACGAGCACGAGCACTCGACCGCCTCGTTTGCGAATACGGTCACTTACAGGTAGCTTGAATTTTAATTTCGATATCGGCGATAAGAGATAAACGAGGCATCGGCGAATTCAGCACTCGATTGTTTTTGTCGAGTGTTTACTGACATTCCTTCGTTCTTTATCGATCACTACATATAACGTATCTCCAGATATCAGGAAAGCGTCTGTTCATTATTTTTCAGAGTTCCTACGAACGGATACTATTTCTTTGTATTCAATTCCGAGAACGAGATTCAACCGAATTATCTACGAGTACGGTTCGATTTACTAAAGACGGTTTACAATACTTCGGACTCGGTGCACGCGTGCAAGAACAGCACGTCTGAATGTTCGTTACCGTTTCGAATCTTCAGCAACGAGAGAACAGTGTTTGAGTTACCATTGAGTGGGAACGATTCGCAGTGGAACGAAGAATACGTAGTGGTCTCGACGTGCGAACCCAGGACTGCGGTTTACTTGCTGTGCATCATATCTGTCCCGTTGCTTATCCTCATATTTGCGTTTTACTGACGACGGATCGTGGACGTGAGACAGGGACAGTATTTTAATCTCGTTAACAAATGCTCACTTTGTAAATAGAATTTCTGACTAAGTCGATCGGAACGAAGGAGGAACCTTTGTCACAATCACACAGTATTTGTTTGCTCGTGACTCTAATTTTTGTGATGGTCAAGTATTTTTAGAGAAAGCATAGATTAGGTATGTCTGTTTCTGTACAGGGTACGTCAATAGTCATAAGTCAATGATTTTATCTATTTATAAAAAAGTCTAATCAGAATTTAACGTGTAACGACGTAATACAATGTTGGAACTGCGTGTGATACGAAGTTAACTAATTAGTATAATCGCTTGGGTAAGACGTTTTTCTAGTTCGCCGTTAAATACGTTATGTGCGCTTTGTAGATTTGGTAGCACGTGATTTATGTAAATAGATTAGAATCGTACGTTCGTTACGTCAACGGATAGTGAGATTTTCCCTCTCTCATCAAAAGATCAGAAGATCGTTTTGTTGTAGATACTCAAGTACCTACCTTTATCTTGAATCGACGCCACAATTTCGATGGACTCCGACATTCGATTTTACTTCTACTCAGAAATTAGTCGATCCTTCCGAAAAACTTTCCATCAACACGAATTCGTTTCTCGATTGTTTTATTTATTATAATCTTTTATGTATTTTTATCTATGTAAGCTTATAATTAATGTATTTGTACCGTGATAAGGGTGAGATTAACTTTACATTGTGAAGATTTATATTTTCAATAAAAAACAAATTTAGGACAATAAATTCGTTTACTTTAAACATCGATCAATGACGAGTTTAACGAGGCACTCCTCAGGCGTGACCGAGACGATGCTAATTAAACATTCCCGGGTAATCCTTCGCGTTTCTCAACATCTTAAAAATTAATCTCCGTCCTATCTGTCCTCATAATCCGCGAGATTAATACCTCGCCACCCGACGACTTGACCCTGCGATTCCATGGATGGTAGCGAGAGTTCTATTTCCGAGGGTATTCCGTGGGCGGAGCAACCCTTATCAGCACGGAACACTCGGTCGCCCTCGCGCAGCCTCCGTCAGCTTCGAACGACTTTCCCAGCCCAGGAATCCACCTTGCCCGGATATCTCGGAATATTACCGAAGGATATCTTATCGGATCTTTCGGGTGCAAGAGAACACAAACCTTCTTGCTACCTGCTGCTGTCATTTGTGTATCGTACAAATAATGTCTCGTGGAATTTTTTGTTTAACAAGCACAGTTCGAAATTATTATTGTCTGAAGGAAACATTTGAGACGCTCTGCAAACATCAAATGTAACAATTTTATTATATACACAAAACTTCCCATATCTGCTGTAATTTTCGATACGCGAACGCAATCAGACCTGCGATATTCTCGTAACATTATAAGAGGATAGAAACGTACTCGCGGCATTGCCAGTTTAATGTCGCAATTTAGATTCGTCCAAGTTTCGATGCTCTCGCGTAGCGGAACTCTGACAAACGCGGGACGAGTGCCGAGACTGTCTGCTAGGCACGTGGAAAACAAACACTAATAATGGGATTAATATGAAGCGGCTGGTTGACGGCGATAACGAAAATTGATTTCCCCCCCCCCCCCGTGGCCCACGGGATCTACCCCTGTCGTCGTTCCGAGTCCCTGGAACGGGGATCCCATTTAAACGGGTTCACGTTTCATGGGACACTGCGCAAACCCAGCGACACGCCTCTTCTCTATTGCCACAAGCCTGGCGGCGATCATTTTTCTACGTACCCCACCATATTCCATTCCCGTTTCGACTCTCCGTCCCGTGCCACATCGACGATATAGTATTTATTACGTCTTCCGTAACAATTCTTAGCATTCCCACTCTTTCCCATCGGTGAACAGTATTCAAGATTCGTATAACGAAAGAAAACTTGAGGAATGCATATTAGCAACGTTTAAACTATGAAGGAAACGTCTGTCTAAAATGCATTGTTCCTCTGGCAGCCAAGTTCCCAGACAATTAGATTCTTATTAGCCGAGGCCCGAAGTCAGGGGATAAAAAAGAAGAAAGGAGTTGTTTAATATACATTAGGGGTCGGGAGCCCCCCCGTTGTCAAGTGGCCACCAGCCACGAGCTGTTTTATTGTGACACCTCCGGAGGGTGCTACGGATTTTCCACCGGGACGAGTTCCAGGGGTGGGTGTCGTCCCGATTAAACGATCGGATCTCGCGATCGCGCGTGTTCATTCGAGCGCTATTACCGGCCAATCTGCGTGGGAGCTGGCGTAAACTGTGAATGGAAAACTCCGTGGACAGATTCACCGCGATTATCGTTCGCCGCCCTGAATCATAGGCAAACTATTAATTATTCCTAATCAATTGGCCACGAGGCTCGTTGAGACAAATATTTGTTACGCAAATGGGAAGACAGATCGCATAATCGCGGAAATTGCATAATCGTAGGACGTCGAGTGAAATTTGAATCGTGAAAATTAGCATGAGTGATTGGAAACCAGAAAATGTCTGCTCGATAACGGAAGATTAGATAAGGCGAATACGGTTATTGTTTCTCATGTGGGCAGCGTCTTCTACGTATGTGTCAATGGGACGAAACAGGAAGGAGGTGGAGACAGATTCAATCGCGAGTCTCCGTGCACATGACGAACGCCGATAAGGAACGAAGGACTCCGTCGAAATCCACTGTCGTCGAGCCGAGTGACCGAACAAAGAAACCGACTCGAGAAACTACTTTTCAGTGGAAGCTGGCTTTCAGGATATTTTTTAATGCTGCCATTAGGATCGCAACTTTTTAACTTTATCGACGCCTTAATCTGAAAATAAAAGGCGTATAAATGACACGTGCAACGCGCTCTTGAATGCAGTCGCGTGCCACTGATATTCGATGGGGTGACTTTTTTCTCACTCGTGGCTAATCCGTTATTGCGACCGCATATGGTCCGCGATACTCCTGCGGCTGAGAAGTATCAATAAATCCGTTGTAGAATATCAATAAATACATACAAATTTATTTTATCAAGAAATTATACGACGATCCATGAAAATTAATAATTCTCTGTGTATCATTTTCATTAAAAAGTGTCTCGTAGAAAATAAAGAGCAGCGTGTTTTATACATGTAGAAAGTCATAATGGACATTGTACAGATCGTAAAATTTGATTTATACTTCGAAATCGCGTATCGAATCTGTGATAGGAACCTTCTGTAAAAATACAGTGATTCCTAATGGTTAGAAAAAGTCGCGTGGGGTGAGTTTCATAGCGGTTTCCCACAGATTTAGTAACGCACAGCTCAATTTGCGCGTGCCAAGGAATACGAATTAGGTATCAGCGGTATTCGTCGTGAAGTATACTCCCTGTGGCCAGGCGACATCGACAAAATCTCTAATGCTTCCATTCATTATTTGAGACCGTCGGTTTGCCGTAGTGATACGAAGTAAAAGTAAAACGTGTAATTTTCATAAAAGATCTTTGATTGCACTTTTGAAATATGATCGAGCACCATTTTTTATGGGGATTACACATGCAGTATCTAAAGTTAGGTATGTTTTTCGCTGGGGATCGGAGAGAATCGATATTTCTTTCGACGACCGGGGGTCCGTCATCCACGTGAGGGTGTTCAGAGGGATGCTGGAACACGGAACAGTAGGGGATGGTACATGGTGCAGCTCCACCCACGAAGCCTGCGCTCCGCCTACGCAAAATTCATTTTCCCGGGGGTTGTACACCGAGCTTTCTATTAGTTAAATCGCCCCGTCGGGGCTCGTCAGTCTGTTTAACATCGGCTACAATCGTAACTTCGGCAACTCGTATCCGTTTCCACCAACCGACACTTGGATCGTTAGAAATTCGTTGACGAGTGACCTGTTCGATTTTGCAATATGGTAAGATCGTATTCTACTGTGAATTTTGTTTAAACGATTCTAGTTTTAAGTGTAAATCGTGCGACGTTTTGGATTTACGATATCATAGCAAGTTTTCCGTGATTGTGATCGAGTGTCAATGGGATTTAAATGATCGCAGTGGAAGATTCTTTTTTTAACTCTTTTAAATTCGGAGACAGAAGAATTTATCGATGTACGTATACATTTATCGAATGTCAGGGACGAGAACGAAGAGGGAGGTCGAAAGATAGGAGCATCCTGTTGGCGCCTATGTAGGATAACTTTGTTCCTGATAATTCATTTAGATTGCATCTTTCGTCATTCATCGTTTGATCCTTGAATACTACAAATCGTACAAGTCGATTCGCGTCTTTCCATTTACATCGCTAAATTCAGTATTGTTTTAAAAGTGTCGACAAATGACGCGTACCAAGTCGAGCCTGAGCCGTCAGAAACTGAGTTGTCAGAAAACCAATGGACAAATCAAAATCGTAAGTTTTCTCAATTGTGATAGAAACTGTGCGTAAATTATTTTCTTTAGTGATGCGAACGAACTTTCAAATGGATCATCGAGTGTATTAACAAACACGAATTTATCTATAGCAACAATTTAATGTCTGTACAAAAGCGATCTAGTGTCCTAAAAATGTTAACGAATGAGTTCTTATCAATGTGACTCTGATAAGTATTCTCCTGGTTGAAATTCGGTTACCAGAATTAAATAAATTATAGTCGATGACGTACAACAATGGCTGTTCCGGGGACACCGAGAACGGATCACCGGCGGAATCAATTTTGTCCGGCGAAGGTGAACTCGGGGAAGAAGCTGGAGATTCGCCTGGTACCTTGAGGGACACGGAAGTGGAAGCGTTGCTCTCAGACGAGTTTTATGCCCACGACACAGACGATGAGGAGGAGCAAGGAAAGAGGCGAAGGGATCGCACCAATTCCGTGAGTGCACTTTCAATAATTCCGAATTGTCTCCATTTTTTTTTCAATTTTTCATGCAGTATTTCATGCACAGAAATTGACAATTAGGAAATAGAAATAATATTTCTCGATACTTTTCTTTAATTAAGGATGTATTGGTTATACAGTCAATCCCAAAAGTTTATACATTTTAGAAACGCATATTTTAAAAAGAAATCAGACGTCGAAAGAACATTGCTAATAATAAACAGCAACAAAAAATTTTCGATATTTCCGAGATTTTTCCAAGGGGTACCCCTTCAATTTCTTCCAAATTTTCGTTTTTGGCCAATAACTCCCAAACCGTTGGACATACGGAAAAATTGCATATGACATTTCTTGTAGAGGACGACGAGATCTACAATTTCTGTATAAAAGTTTCTTACTAGCGTCAATAGTTAACGAGTAATTTGCAAAAAACTGTTTTTCGTCAATAACTCGTAAACTATTAATGCTAGTGACAAAC